TTTTAAATGAATAGTTAATAAATAATTTAATGAATTATTAATGAATTTTTAATGAATAGTTTTGATGAATAATTGATGAATGGCTGACGAATGGTTTACGAATAGTTAACAAAATAGTAGATGAATAGTTGACGAATAGTTGACAAATGATTAACGAATGGTTGACAAATGGTTAACAAATTTTTGACAAATAGTTACAAATATAGTTGATGAATAATTGATGAATAGTGGATAAATAGTTGACGAATAGTGGATGAATAGTTGATGAATTTTTGACGAATTTTTGATAAATAGTTTTGATTGTCAATTTTTGTAGTTGCCGATTTATTTATGTTATTTTTTTTACCAAATTGTTTATTTTTTATCAAATGTTACATGAGTGGTAGTATTTTTGCTGAATGTTACATAAGTGGTAGTATGCTGAATAATTTTTTTTCGACTAGTGATCAAACTGGATGTAAAATATTCTATTATATTATGTCCTTATGAAATATTAAGAACTTATTTATATTAACTTGATTTATAAATTATGATAAAAGTGTTAATTTGTATCTGAGGCTAATTCAATTCTTCTTTATATATTTGATAAACTTTCCAAATAATGTTATTAAATATTAATTGACCTTTATTCAATGATATAAACTGGTTAATTCAGCAGAAAATGGATTTTATTTTAGATCTGAAAAGGATATAAATATTGAATTGTGAATTACTGAATTATATCTAATGAGATGTAAATACATAATTCCTATTTATAATATTTTTGGTTCATTTATTCAATTTAGATATAGAATTTCAAATTGATAAGATTCTTATAAATATTTAATTGTAATTCCTTTAAATTGTAAATATAATATGTATATAATTAAAAATTCAACATATGGGAATTTTGATAAAATTAAATGTCCAATGATTTTTTAAAAAAATTTTTAATAAAATATATAATAAAAATAATACAAATTATAAAAACTCTTTCCGCTGATCCTCTGATCATACACAAAAAAGATGTTTGCAAGAAGTTTTTATACTTCTTTGCTAATAAAGTCTTAATACTTTCATTAAAACAACTTGAAGTATGATTTCAAAAGTCAAATCTATCCTTTTTTTTTTGTTTACAAACCTCTTCACTCAAAAACTTGATTTCTAGTAATCAAAAAAAGTCAAATAACACTTTTGATACCAATGGCAAAAAAGTTCCCAAAGGAAGAAGAACTGACTGTGAAGTACTTGAAGGCCTTTTTAATCTTTGAAGTGAGAGGTATTAGAGGTTTTTAATGACAGAAGAACTTATTTTTCCCCTTCCAGTTACTGTTGGGTCTCTTAGAACTATCGCTTTCAAGGTTTTCTAAAGAATTTTGTTTACTTCAGTTTGATCCTGAATTTTTAGTAGCACAAATTCTTACCAAAGGTGATTGGCTGACATGAAACACATTAGTTTTTGAAATGTAAACAAGCTCTTATTAGTCACAATTACATGTTCCGATGACATCATTGGTAATTAAAAAGAAGGTTCTGGAAACAGTTGTCCTCAAAAAGCTCAAATCCCTCAATAAATACTTCTATGACACCAAAAGACCAAGTGATAAGTAATGTATGTTGTAAACTCCCATTTCTTACTTAAGTTTCTCAAGTGATAACAAAGCTTTAATGGAAAAAAACTGAGATTTAAATACTTTTCTTGAGATATTCCAATATGATGCTTACTTAAATGAAAGACCAGTTGGATTGACTTGTCCAATACCGCAGGTGGTAAAAAAGAAGATTTCTTTTGAGGTTCAAGTGAAGCAAGAAGACTATTCCAATTAGGCAGATCCCTTTTGAGAAGAAGTTGTTTTTATTTTTGGATTTTTTTGATAGGTCTTGAATTGTCACCTTTTCCAAATCATTTTTCCCCTTTCCCCTTTTAACTTAGCAATTCATTGGTTTTCGGGTAATCAACAATGACAAACTATTGGCAATGATCCTGATAGATAGAGGTTATTACCAATCTATTAGGGGAGTGAAATATTGTTCCCAAAATCTGACTTAGAGTACTTTTGTATGAAGATGAGTTAGTCACTTTGTGAAAGTCTGTAAAATATTGTAAATTCATTTTCAATTTTTCAATAAAAACATGCCATTGTGGCATGATTGCGGGTTAAAAAAAAAATAAAAAAAAAAAAATAATTATAGGTTAAAAAATTTTTATTAAAAAAAATTATTCAATGCAGATAAACAAAAAATCTTTTATAATATAAAAAATACAAAAACATTCAATAAAATTTATTTATATACAAAAAAAACAACAAATTACGTACCAAATAACATAACAAAACAATTAAATTATAAATTATAAGTGGATTACAATACATTTTACAAATATTGAATATTATAGATATATTGCTAAATCTCCTAGTAAAATATGACAAGTATAACAAACTATGAATAATATAACAGATACTTTAGCTGAGGAAAAATGAGTTAAATACTATCAATCTAATCTAGTTGCTGTAGCATTTGTCAAAGTTGCATTGTTATCAACCTGACTTGGGCTTTTTATCAGGTGACAAATTGCAAATATGTTTGATAACAAATATTCAATTCCCTATTAAATTTAAACGGAATTTTCGATATTATTAATAAAACCAAGTGATATTAATTCGTAAAAATATTTTTATCAGTGAATTGTGGAGAATAAATTAGTTTTTAGACTACAAAAGAAGTGTACCAAATGTATAGTAACACGAACGCGAATTGTCAGAACGCGTCATGCCAATTGAATATGGTAAGATTTTTTTTACCCAAAGATGCTTGGCAGAAGCTTCATTCAGTAAAGTCAGTTGAAACGCCTGCTCAAAGACAATGGGATGTAACGAATTGAGGGTAAGGAATTTTTTCAAATTCTCAATTTGAAAATAAATTAATGTTTAATGTCAATAATACAATATGCACAAAAAAATATATTGTATGCAATCTTTGGATGTCTGAATAATCACGAACCTGGAAACGAACCTCCGTAAAGAAAATTCCACTATGCATCAAAAAATATTTAACATTCCAACAACACCCATTAGCGTACCAAGGACCACCAAAGGAGTAAAAACACTCCAAATTCCCCAACAACTAATAATAAGTCCTAATATACCGATGGAACCTGTTACGGTAGCTATCGGTATATATTTTTTTAATGTTTCGTCACGACTCCATAATCGATAGTTAGGCGACGGAGCACGTTTTATGAATGGGAGATAGAAATTTAAGTAAAAGAAGATTAAAAAAGTAGTAGACAATGAAATGGTAGAGATATAAAAGAGGTTTCTGGAATTGATAAAAATCGACTCGAAAATTATTTTGAATTAAAACAACATGATAAATAACCTAGTAATATTCGTTACCTAGTCCACCCGTTCCACGATAAGATAGTTTGCACACCAAACGGTACGTCAAAAAACCAATACACCAAGCCTGATAGAATGATCAATCTAAGTGAAGTAAATATACGCCATATACGCGATTTTCGTTTATTTCTTTGTGTAACCGCGTCCGAAGAATCATAAGAGGAATCTTCCATAGAAATTCCTATAGTTCGTCTACGAATATCTTGATCATTCATATTTTAAAGTTAGATTCTGAGAAAAAAAAAAAAAAAATTTTCAGAGGTTCGTCATTTACATCATTTATTGTGTAACATCCTGATAGATTGATCAGAAAAATTTTTTTTTAGCTTCTTTTTAATTTTCAAATACACGAAATCAATCAATAGACATGTACTGTTTGAAAGTGCCTCTACGCGCTTTGAAAAATACTGCCAGCCGCACCACCACTATCAGTGGACCATTAACTCGCGCTGGTCTCACTAGTCCTGTTATTTCAAGGTCAAAATACACAGTACCAGACCTTCCATATGATTACAATGTAAGCAATGTTCATTGATATCTATACCGATATTACACCCATGTTTTCGTGGAGTTTATCTTTTTTGGTGTTTACCTTACATATATTCTATTCGTTTAACGCGCGTTCTTACTTAACAATTCTTGCACTTTGTCGACCTGCAGGCTCTTGAACCCGTTATTTCGGCTGAAATAATGAAGATCCATCACGACAAACATCATCAAGCATACGTCAATGGCCTTAATGTAGCTGAGGAGAAATTTGAACAGGCGCTCAAAGATAATGACATTCATGCACAAATTACATTGCAGGAAGCGTTGAAATTTAATGGTGGAGGGCATATTAATCATTCATTGTTTTGGACAAATCTCGCGCCAATTAAAGAAGGCGGAGGTGAACCTCCTAAAGGTGTGAAGTTGTCTATGTCTTTTGAAATTGCGGTTGTGATTCTGAAATTACGAACAAAATTCACCATTATTTAAGGGGCACTCCACAACGCTATCCAAAAAGATTTTGGATCTCTCGAAGACTTCATCAGCAAATTCAACACAGTAACTGCCGCCATTCAAGGTATACCTTTTAGCGTAAAATTTTCCTTTTTATTTACAAAAAAATGATTACTGAAACTTACTTTCATAGGTTCTGGCTGGGGTTGGCTGGTAAGTGGGATCTACACTAAATGTTATTTCCATAACGAAGACATATGATCGACATCTAATGTCGCTTGTAGGGTTATAACAAGGCCAATAAACGCCTCGAAATCGTGACACTTCCGAATCAAGATCCTCTTATTAGTAAATAATTGTTTATATACTTTTGAAATTCGTGCATATTAGTATTTTCTTTTAATGACCAATGAATCATTCCTTGATTTAAATTTAGCGCACGTGCCTCTTCTTGGAATCGACGTGTGGGAGCATGTAAGCAAGTTACTTATTGGTCATTTGCTTTTTAGCATTATTCCTTCTTACTAATTAAATAAGTTACTTTAGGCCTATTACTTGCAATACAAGAACGCCAGAGCTGAATACCTGAAAGCAATTTGGGAAGTTGTCAATTGGAAGACCGTAGCCGAAAGATTCGCGATGGCTCAGTGATTTTTTTATTGAATTCATCCCTGTTGTATAATATGTAGAAATATTCGTTATAAATCATGTTTTTTGTTAAGCAGTGTTCTTTATGGGTTGACGGAATGTGTTAGTTACATATGTATATATGTTTTTTTTTTTTTTTAATATACGTTGAGATTGTAACTTTAAGGTATTGGTTTGAATTGTTATGAAATAATAGATGAGATGCTTAGTACATTTTACTAATTCATTAACCTTAGAAAAATTTCCTTTGCCATTGTCCGAAAACTTCCTTTACTACAAAACTCGAACACAAGCTGTACATAGAATTTTCAAAAATCTAGTAATTTCAAAGGAAAAAAAAAAAAATTTTTGTAAACAAAATAATTACAGATAATGTATATATAATGAATTATTTGGGAATCATAACTTAGTTGAATTATTAACAAAAAGTTGTGTTG